CAAGACCAGTGTGACCCAGTTCCAGAACTGGATCTTTACTTTGCCTGACCAGGGTCACCCGGTTCCAGAACTGGATCTTTACTGGGCAAGACCAGGGTGACCCAGTTCCAGAACTGGATCTTTACTTCGCCTGACCAGGGTCATCCGGTTCCAGAACTGGATCTTTACTGGGCCAGACCAGAGTGACCCAGTTCCAGAACTGGATCTTTACTGGGTTGGGCCAGGGTTCCAGAACGGACAGCTCTTCAAAGCAGCAGCTCCTCAAGAGCTGTGAGCGGGTGGTGAGCGAGGCTTGAAAGTGCTGCACAGTTACAAAACGTACAATCCCGACGACAGTGGTCGTTACTGAGTTCTGTCTGCGGCACTGCTCCAGGCGCCAGACAGGCAGAGTGGCGCAGAAACGAGACGCAGTGCGAAGGGAGAGGCAGTGCTGACCCGGGGTTGCCACAGACTGGGCTACCGTACGGGTCCAGGTATGAAGAGGAAAACAAAAGTACGTTTAAACATCTGATATTTTTATACACGCAGTGCAGTTTGTTTCGCCCACAGTTCTGTGCCCCTGAATTGAACGAAAACCAATGGAGCTTCTCAGTGCAAAGTACTGTAACGTTTTGGAAAGGGGGAAGTTTAACATAAGAAACAAAGCAAACGGAGCTGTACTTTTCTACCTGTGCTTTGTAAATGTTTTCTATGTGCGGTATTTGATAATGTAAAACTGGTATTTTTGTGGTTTGTATGCAGCAGAATTGATGACTTTAGGTGCATGCAGTTTTGTACGAAAACAAACACTGCAGATTTTCCAATGAGCAGCCTGTCTCTGCATGCCCTTCGACAGCCAGACAAAGTCATTAAAGTCTATCAGAAACTGTCCTCCGCAGTCCCTCGTCTGTTCTTCACAGCTCCAGTCCAGCAGGCCGTACTGGTCACATCAAATCACCATTTTCAAAAAGCTTGGAAAAAATTAGCTTAGTGCTCAGTCGCAGGTGAGCTGTTAAATGAACTAGCTGCACGATCATTCTGAATAGTTCTTTAGCCCTAACTGCAGTTCGTTCAGTTAAAGGATCGCTCACCCGCAGGTGTTCCCCGGTCTTTAGCAACATGCGATTCGGGGTGACCTGCGGTGTAAACTGGGGCTGGGGACCCCCTGCTCTCCCA